TAGTGTATTAAGTTAATCTAACCTATATATATGAAGTGAAGAGTTAAGTTAGGGACATTTTGAGTTCAAAAATATGCTGGAAATAGTTCTAGAGAGAGAAGGAGACCATTCTAGAAAGAGAGAAGGCAAGAACTTGAAGGTTTGGCTAGAGAATTGGAAAATTGAGAAGAGGAATTCAATATTTTGCTAAAACAAGCTAATCACAAGACTCTATGTAAGAATTTGATTCTTAATTCATGAATTTAAGTCACCTAGCATGTGAATTCAAGAAGATATGAGATTAAACTCAAGAATTGAGTTAGAAGTTGATGAATTGGGAGTTAGAACTTACATGCATGCATAAATTTGTGAAGTTACAACATTTTGAACATGATTTTTCGTGTTTAATTATGTTTGAATTAGAAGTTGTATCATACATACATCCATGGTTTAAAGAGTTTTGAAGTCAATTTCATGTTTTTAAAGTTGTAGAAAAAGAATTTGAAACAAGTTCATACATGCATGAAGGTTTGAGATCCATTTGTAAAGAATTTGTGAAGTTCAAGTTCCAATTTGAAGGAATCATGGAGTTTTTGAGCTAAAGGTTTGATATTGGTTACATGTTCATATTTTTCTAAGTGTTTTCAAGCCACAGACTAAGCCATGCAAGAGTTTTTGCAAGCTCTTAACTTAAGGACTCAAGTTTTGAAACACAAAAATTTGTTTTGGAAACCTAGAGTTCGGCCGCATCGCTCGAGCGGTGAAGTTACCGCTCGAGTGCACATTTCATGCATCCAGAAGTCTTACAGAGTTTTGCAAACCGCTCGAATGACCAAGAGTCCGCTCGAGTGACCTCAGTTTATTTTGCACATGGCTCGAGCGACTATTGTGCCTAGAAGTCGAGCATTCAATACTTTTGCAAACCATACAGATCGCTCGAGCGATCAAATGACCGCTCGAGCAAACTGTCCTACTTCAGCATATCTTTGAAAGATTCATTATGTTCGTATTTGCATATTCATTTCTTTTCAAGCATTCTTAGGCATGAATTAAGCCTCATGAATGAATTAATAAGCTAGAAATGGACTTAAAGGAATTGATTAACAAAGGAATGATTCAAGTAAGCTATGAGTTACAATGTGTGTATATGTTTATGTGTTGTGCATGTTGATCCACGGAGACGTGATAATAATCTAATCACTGTGGGTAATATCTTAATAAAGATATTTTCTTATATGCTATTTTCTAAATATTTCCAATGTGGAAAGCTTTTTTGAACTTATGATTTGTGAGTATGAATGAGCCTATATCTGTTTGATCAATACGATATCTATTAATGGAATTAATTAAGTACAAATGTGTGAAATGGACCAAAGGTCATTCTGTATATCTGATAAGATAGACCCAAGGTCGTTCTAAATATCTAATAAGTCTGAAATAACTATTATGTGTTGACCAAATGGTCCTTATACAGCAATAATCAATTGGACCTAAGGTCATTCAGTCAAGTTATGATCTATTTTGCTCTATACTTCTGTTATATGCTAGACCAGAGATTGTTCTGTCATGTATTGGATCAGAGGTCGTTCCATTATGAAATGAATATGACATGGAAACAATTATGTTTATGTAATAAAACTCATTCGTGTAACCCCTTTACTCTGATATTATTCACTAGGTTCTAACTCACTTCGTTATATATATATATATATATATAGGTGAGCAGCAGGATGTCCAACCTTAAAGGAGTTTGATGATTACCCAAGTTCTTGTGGAGCTATGGAGTACCTCATAGATGAGCATTTTACCTTTGTCTTTTGTTTTGTTTTTGTTGGTCATGTTTGACCGTGTTTTGTATATAAGTTTTTGAGTTTTGTAAGATGATAACTTGTATTTCATGTAAGGTTTTGTATATGCAGATATGTATAAACAAGTATGTCTTGGATGTGAGTTATTAACGAATAAAATTTCTATTCATGTCATATATGCATAGCTCATTAGACAAAATTTTATTATTTTGCTTCCGCTTTAGGCCCAATATATTTAATTATGTTTTGAAATTCTGTTTCAGACCGTAAGTAATCTCAGGATTACTACCAGTTACAATCCAAACCTCTAGGGGCAGATTCGGATTGTAGCAAATAATGAGATTGAAAACTATGAGTTCAAAGCTATCTTTTGGGTAGTGTCAATAGTATTAACATTGCCTTAAAATTCCAAAATTTATATAGTAGTTGTTCTTTTATTTTTATTTTTTTATTATTTTATTTTATTTTTTCAATCTCTCAATGGGTTCAAGTGACATCAGCTAATGTCACCCCTGATCTTATTAAATCTAATGTTTAATTGGAATATTATAGAGAATGATAAGTGTTTAATAGATTATTTTGTCATTTTCAATTGTTTACCAAGTAATAGCAATATTAAACATATCTTTAATATTTTAATTATTTTTAGCCAAATTAAATAAAAATTTACACTACAAGAAAAAACACTTTTGGTGACCACCTATTTTTTTTGGTCGCAAATAGTCCACTTTCTGCGACTAAAATTTAACTTTTGGCGACCACATTTTTTTGGTCGCGGAAAATCACCTTTTGGCGACAAAAAAAAAAAGTTGGTCGCGGAAAGTATACTTTTGGCGACCAAAGGCTTTTTTTGGTCGCGGAAGATCACCTTTTGGCGACTAAAAAAAAGGTTGGTCACAGAAAGTATACCCTTTGGCGACCAAAAAAAAAAGTTGGTCGCGGAAAGTATACTTTCTATCTCATATCTTCCCAGAACCCAATAGTCTAGTAACATATATGGGATTGATAATCCCGGGGAACTCCTAATAGGACCTACAAATTTTCAACCAAACAGAGGACTCCATGGTAGATTGGACATGCAGTCCAATCCCCCTCCAATCCTTCCAAACAAAGATGATATGTTTCCATTTAAAATTAAATTAAGAATCAATTTATTACTTATGATTTTATAAAAGTTAGAGTCAAATATATTAATCCTTAAAAATTTTGGAACCAAACCAAAAATATAGTTTGATTTGGTTTGAAATTATAATGTTTTGAAATTTTCTCATCATTCACAACTTGATCACAAAATATTGTTAACCACTATACAAGAATAAGTTTGCAAGAGTAGAGACCATTATCACAATTGTTATATTGTCAATCAGGTTTGTTAATGTGTTTGTAAATGAATGCTTTGTTTCGGTGTGATTTGGTTGTTGGTTATGTTAACTGTTGTAAGGTGCTATAGCTGTGATTTTCGGTTCTTGCTTGATTCCCACAATTGTAGTATGTTGTTGTGGTCATCTCTTTCTATCTTTGGTTGGTCTCTCACTAACATTGAGGTTGTGTTAGTACATGATCATATATTTTTCTTGATGTCAATTTAGTTGGAATTGCAAAGTTTTACTTTTAACATTTTTTGTACTCTTGTCTCCTTTATTGATGTTCTACCACATGTATTGTATGTCTTTTAATCAATAAAATTTCTTCTTTTTTGATGATAAAAAGACTCATAAGATATTTTAGTATTTATGATAGTTAACAAAAACAGTTTGGTTCAATAAGTTTATTGATGTTCTATCATATGTATTGTATATCTTTTCATCAATAAAATTTCTTCTCTTTTGCTAATAAAAACTTATAAGATATTTGAGTGTTTATGATAGTTAACAAAACCAATCTAGCTCAATAAAGTTTATTGATGTTCTACCATATGTATTGTATATCTTTTTATCAATAAAGTTTATTCTTTTTTGCTGATAAAAACTTATAAGACATTTGAGTGTTTATGATAGTTAAAAAAACAATCTGATTCAATTCTAAACAAGATTCATTACTTTAAAATACTTGACTTGCAAAGTACGATTTGCCTATTTTAAGAATGCCAAACTACGTATTAAAAAAATAATCCAAATTGTGCGATTTGGTTAGGATTGAACCAATTTATGATTTTTTTTTTACTCAACCCTATATAGATATTGTAATTAATTTTCAAAACAATATTTTGGAAATAAAATATTTTTCAAACAATAAAAAATAAAAAATAAAAAAAAGTGAAGCGAAGATTGTTCAAAAACCTTCTACTACTTAATACTCCTCCCGTAAGCATATCTCGAAAAAGTTGCAGGTCCTCAAAACTCTAAAATTTTTTGCCCATAGGTCATGCGAAAATTTAAGTAATAATTCTCAAATTGTAAATAAAAACAAAATTTTAACACCTTATTGATTTTGTCAAAAAATATAAAAATATGTTGTCTTGCATAATAACCTCATTAAATAAATTCGTAATTGAACTTATAAACCATGACGGATTCAGGATCATAATTTTGAGGGGTTGAAAATTTTTAAATCCAATACTAATTTCTACCATCACAAAAAAAGAAAATAAAAAAAGTTGGAACCACTGCTGGAAATTCAGGTTTTAGGGGCGTTTTAAAAACGCCGCAATAGGTCTTAAAAACGCCGTTAAATCTTTTTGTGACGTTTTACACCAAACGCCGAAGATGCGGCCGTCGCTATAACTCTGTGACGCTTTAGAAACGTCGCTATATGACAATAGGCGGCGTTTTTAAAAACGCCGTTAAAAATTCTACTAACGGTAACATGACGTCAGCATGTTATTTAGCGACGTTTTTAAAACGCCGTTGTATCTCTAAAGCTATTTAACGACGTTTTTAAAAACGCCGTGATAGCCCTCTTTTTTTTTTCTTTTTTAATTGTGTTAATTTTAGGTTATTGAACCAAAAAAAAAAAACCTATAATAAAACTGAAAAATAACACTAATATGAAATAATAACTCCCATTCACATAGTAAAATCTTATCAAATGATAGTCCATAGTCATTGTGTAAAAAAAAAAAAAAAAACATTCACACAAATCATTTGAATTACATTAAGGAGTCACCGAAATTAGATGCCCCTCCAAAAAGAACACAGGGATCTATATATATACACAAATTGAAACATTGGTTTGATAGATTACTAAGATTAACAAAATGAATGAGAAAGTCAATTATCAGAACACAAATTGAAACATTGGTTTCATGCAGACTTAATACCTATGAAATACAAGCAAAAAACACAATTAAACACCTGTTTTAACAAGATTTTAACTTCCAAAAAGTAAATTTTATTTCTTCTCTGCCACACACCTGCAGAGGGGTTTTGGGTAAGGAAGAAAGAGAAGAGAAGAGAAGAGAAGAAAAGAAAAGGACATTAGAATAATTACCTAGATAGATAGAATACAGACACTAGAATAAAAAATTACAACATTGCGGGCCATACTTTACTAACGCAGTGGGAGTCTTTCACAATCCTTTCAAATGTGATCTGCAAAACCCAGTTAAATCCAATCCTCTGTCACAGCATGAAACCTGTAAAAAAATTCATCGGTAAAAAATAAGCCCTCGGTCCATAAGAAGCAGGGATACCTGATCCTACAAAACTTGTAATACATGTAAGATCGTAAGATCATAACTTGTTAACGTAAAAAGAGGAAGTTGACAGAAGACAAAACCCGTTACGAAACCACATGAAAAATTGCATGTTAACTAGCCTGGAATGTGCTGTGGTTAGAGAGTGCCTGACTGCAAACAAATACCAACACATGCAATAAAAGCAAAAAATAGGAATGCATCTAAATACCAAACCCATGTAATTAATGATTTTACAGAGCATCACTTGTAGTAAGACATTTGGAAACCCATGTAACTTAAAGAATGTATAGTATCAAAGTAGAACTTCTTCAAGTTATTTGTCCTACAATTCTAATCTATCCAATTTGGACAGGGGAAACCAAAAGGAAAGCCAGGAAACAAGAATTTTCAATCAGTGGATAACATAATAGGTTTTACAAGTCAAGCAGATTCCGTTTCAAAATATATGAACTAGACCCATTTCTCTCTCACACACACCCAACCTTTAACTACTACACACAAGTCAGGAATTGACCATTCCTTGACGGAGACCAGAAAGCCTTTGTAAATATGTTTGGTGACTTACAACTATACAGGACTGCTGCTTCAACTCCCTTACTGTTATTAAAACAAGACATAAAATAGTAGAAGCTCGCCGCTACTTATAAGTTCAAAGGGACAACACAGAAATGATACTATGTGGAATGAAAACAGTATCAAAATCAATACAAAAACATCAAAAGACTACACCTCATACCACATTTCAATCATTCACAAAAATCTCCATCAGAAATAAGAATATAAGGAAATAGCATCTTCAAAAATTTATTGTTAACTCACCAGAAACTCTTGAAAATTTCTTATTTCCAATCATAATATATAATTGTTTTAATAATTTTCTACAAGTCTAAGATTCAAACACAGCCCCAAAAGGATATTTTAACAAATTGAAATAGAATAGACAGACAGCTTACTTACAAAATAATTAACAGATACAAAACAGCCAGTAAGTGTTTATTGGAAATGGGAGGGGGGAGGACTCTTTTAAAACAAAGAAATTTGAAAAGTTGATGACCAGCAGTGATGATGAGAAACATTGGAAAAAGTAAGAGATCAGATGAATGTGAAAGGGAAACGATCTAGGAGGTTTTATATCACCATGCATGCAAGGCACACAAATCAAGCACATCAAAAGCAATTATGAAACCAATAAAAAAAGGTGGGGAAAAATTATCCAATCATAGAACAGTGAACCTGCACATCACCTGCACAGTGGAAAATGGTGTAAGCTACTTTGTTGGATGTGTGGGTCTTTTTTTAAATGGAACTCTTTATTAAAAGAGCAACCCAAAACATCAAAATTTTAAGAAAACAAGAATACATACCAGAAAATATTAGTTGGATCAATATCCATATCCTCGCCGCTGCTGGTTTCCATAGTACTGATCTTCATTGCTTTCGTTGTTATTGTTGGAACCATAAGTATTATCCTTATTAGCTTTTTCTGACTGTTCCTTTTCCCTGTTCCACTGCCCGATTTTGGCATGTCTCTCCTCACTTCCTTCTCTTACTGGACTCCGGTTCCTTCTTCCCCCCGGGCTCCTGCTTCGTCCTCTTCTGTGGCCAGGGCTTGTAGTCCTGTTCCTCTTGCTACGACTCTCATGGTAGTAATCCTCGTCATCATACCTTCTACTGTGCCCACAACCTCCATGAGGGCGCTCATCATAGCTGCGATGCCTATAAGGACTTCAACTTCTGCTCCGACTGAGGCTATGCCTTGAGCGATACCTCTCAAACAATTGGCGTCTCAACTCTCTATCGTTCATAACAGTAAGATGAATCGTTTTAGAAACAAAATCAGGCTCTGCTCAACTGTAATACCTTGCAAAATATAGATGAGACAAAAACAAACACATCAAGGATGCTTACCTGCCAATCCTTTTCAGATGCATAAAGTTGCAATACCCACCACGATTGCAGGCATTCTCTTCATACTGCCTACATGTGGCTACACGAAAATCAGCCTTAGGCACATAAAGTAAGAACAATAATTTTCTATCCTTTTATGGACGACAAAGAACAATAACCAAAAGCTAGAATTTTAAATCTTGTCCCATGTTTCCTATCCATTATACAATAAAATTGCACTTACCCTCCCATCATAGGATAATGATGCAAAAATCCATGGCTCTCGGGAACTCCAAGCAAGACCAGCAATTTTGGTAAAACTAGTCAGGCTAAATTCAGACATTAAGCTTTATACATATGTAGAGAAGAAGAATAATGAACACTGCAGCAATCACCATAGACCCTGTCTTCGTAGTCACTGTACGAATTGAGCAATGGATCTACCGATCTTGTATGTGACTCTATCAAGCTGCAAAATCATAGAATTAAACAAGACCATCAGAAGAAATCAACAAAGGAAAACTACATGATGATGTCCTAGCCTTCGAAAATAGGAAAGTAACCTTTCAGATGATAAATCATCACTGCTAGGAGGAGAAGCCATCCACAAATTGACAGCTGAGTCTGTTCCAGCACTAACAAATTACAAATCAGAAGTATAACCTGGGTACAATACTACAGATGCACGAGCCTTAGCCAGAAAAAGAGAAAAAGTAAGCTACAAAAGAGTGACTGTATTGATTTCTATCTGGTATAATTGCAACCAATCATATCAAGACTAGTAATTTCATTCAGAACATAAGGGACGTCGTACGAATTGCACTTCTCAAGTCACAAGACATTGTAGCCAAAAATCTGCAGTTTGATTCCCTTCTCAACATCGAGTAACATAACAGAAAACCAAATTAACCTAGGAGTACACAACTGTGGAGTACCAAATATGATTAGTGAAAACTGTTATTCCTAAACACCAAAAACCCAATACCCAACCTTAAGTACTCAGTAATTGTAATAACATGATACCTGATATATATATCCAATGCAACAAGTGGAGTATGAATCCAGCCAACAACCTTAAAAAACAATTTAGTTTTCTTTATCCATGCTATCTCTAAGTTCTAGTATTAAAAAATTAAAAATTTTAAAAATAAATTAAAAAAATAGGAGGAATAAACATGATGGTACTAGGATTCTAGGGCATTTAACATTAAATAAACCAATGCTAACTCATTTGTTGCTTAGAGTCAACATAAGAGTAAAAGAGCAGATAACTAACATAGGTGCACATACATGTTGCTAGTTTAAGAGAATGAAACAAGAAATCAGTACTTTGATTTTGTTAGATGCTCAAATCCATCCAGTTGATTGAGAAGCTCCAGCATCGTCCCCTGCACTTCACTATCACCATTACCAGATCCAGATTCCATTCAAAGAAAGGCAGGTTTTACTTTGAATAAATTTAAAAAACCCTTTCCTTGCCCCTTCTAACCAATTAAACCTCACTGCATAACTCCAAAACCAAACCCTTTATTACACCAATTTCAGACCTTGAGAGTCCACAATAGTCACTCTCGAAGACCCTCTTTGAGAAATCAAAATCAAACTTTAGATCGCAGTTTATAAGAGTGTGCTTCGCCCCATCAATTTCATGTTTTTCTGTTAGTAAAAGAAGCAGACCACCCAAAAGTCCCACACTATGATTTAAATGCCCAGCATCTGGTGCATTTAATTAGAGCAAATACTTTTACCCTCACATTGAATTTTGTTATCCTAAACTTAAAAGCAAGTAAGCACGCTGGTGCAACATTAAATCACAAATTCATTAGAGTAACAATGTTCCATAAATACACATGTATCAATAACCCAGCACCAAAAAAATGAATACAAATGCATCAGTATGACTAATACATGCATAATGATTTCATCTAGTTAGCACATGCACAATAAGATAGATTTATAATTTTATATGACTGATTCATGTTTACTTGTTAACCAAGTCCAATGTAATGGCAGATCAATCATGAGCCTTGTGAAATGCACCTCCTCAGAAGACAAATTGCACAAAGACTATGGGATCTGAAATAACACAATCAAGATTACATCACCTTCTTATTGCTGGCTGCATCTTCCGCTTGTTTAACCAATGCTGTACCTTCAGCAGTAACATGCTGCATAAAGAAAAACCCAGCGAAACTTCAAAATAAACAAGGGGAAGAAACAAATAATACCAAAGGCACAATGCTACATTCTTTACAGAACAATGTACTGCAAGTTAAAGACCAAAACCTGCTTAAATATACTAGAAACCGGATCTAAACCTTGAGGTATTTTGGAAAAGAGCCTATACATCCTTGATAAATCCTCTACCTACAAGAGAACAGGAAAAAAATGTTAATAAACTTTAGTTAATTGCAACTGAAATAACAGCAAGAAGGCTTGAATAATAACACTGTCCAAGTCTGATAAAAAAAAAATGGTCCAAATGACTACCTTGTCATCCCTAAGCAATGCATGACATCCAGAGTGCTCCTTCTCGAGCAATTTGGTTGCATAAACAGACAACAATTCATGTTGAACTTTCTATAGGAAGACAAAATTACCCACAATTATAACAGCAAAAGTGCATATCTTCAAAATTGGCCTCAAAATAAATAAATAAAAAAGAATTTGTTATATTTACACATGTAGGGAACCATAGCTTGGCTCAATTTCCAAAAGTAAGCTTTCATTACCAATGTTTTAATTAATATGAATATGCTTTTATTTCATGTAATACCCTGCTTTTTCAAAACTACAAAGGGAAAAACTTTTCAAAATCGCAAAATGACTTCTGATTCATATTTTGCGAACACTAGATGGATTTCTTTTATCAGATAATTTAAAGCATTTACCGTCATTGATATTTTACATATTTATGTGACTTGCATATTTATTGGGAGAAACTGTCAGATTGCTTAGGATGTCTGTCTGTAAGAGGCATGGACCACCACATGGCCTTCACCAGGTGATGTCCTGGAAGCACTGAATAACTTCTCCCAAAGCAGAGCCCACCTGTAGGCCTTTTATCCACTTTTAAAAACATATTTATTTTTATCACAGCACAAACCAGATACACATTTGAAAAACATAATATACCATGCAATCAGCGTAACTGGAAAACATGCAGAAAGAAATGTAGACCTGATCCATACTTATATCAATGCAAATAACTTACAGTAGAAAGCCGGAATGGACAAAACTTTGGCTTCCCTCTGTGTCCATACTTTAGCAGATATGCCCCCCTCTTTAAGGCTACAATAGACTACATTTAAAATAAGATACAGAAAAAATTATCAGATCACTCACGGATAATTTAGCAAAAGCATATAGCATACTGAAGTACCCTAAGAGGAAACAGGGAGAATATTAAGAAAATTAGCATATGTGAAGATAAATAAAAACTTCATGATATCACAAGAAATTCCCAATCATGGGCTTCCTACACCAAAAATGATGTTTAATCATGGGCATCCATCCCATGTCTAAGACCAAAGCAAAGATAGAAGCATAGGAACCACTGGACCACAAGCAACAAAATCACTTGATGCACTGCTGGATTACTCTACACAATAAATACTCGATCAAAATGAGGAATCGCTCAACTCCAAAGCAAGAACACTTGCAAACTTGATCAAAAGGCCAGCCTTCCTATCATATTCTCAGTGATGCCTATAGATTACAATGTAAGAAGAGGGACCATTCGACTCAAAGAGGAAGCCAAAGGAATTAACCATGTAACTAATATTCAAAACTAGGATACTACTTGTTCACAATTCAAAATGGCGCATAAGCATTTTAATTGTTCCTAGGCAGTCAAAATGTAAAACTGGAATGGAGACTTGCACCTTAAAGTGAAAAATATTTCATATGACTTCTTGTTGGTTTTTATTTTTTTGTTCTTCTATTCTTTTTTCTTCTTTGTTTATGTTTAAGAACTCCAGTAAGACTCATTTCCATTAGTTGCAGATACCAACAGCCATCTTAGTTCTCTCAGAGAAAAGAAAACTGAAAGCATTTAAAGCAGACTTTCAAATGGGAAATTCAATGCAATTGGATATCAAGTCAACGCAGAAGCCACACTTTCAGATTCTGGCTATTAAAGGAAAGAACAAAATTTCTAAAGTCTTAATTTGTAAATTGAAGTAAATTTTTGGCAACTATGTATATTTGAGCGGGCATTGTGCCCTTCCATTGTTTGATTTTGTAGTCTTGTGAGTGTGTAGTATTTTTCCGATTGAGAAAGAAATTGTGTGAGACATAACAGATTCAATGTGGCCCAATTAATTGGTTTATGATTTTTTTTTTACATTTGCTTCTTCTCCTAAAAAGTTGTGAAAATGGCTTCTACAATATTTAATAGTTAAAGCTGTCCCCATCATATAGCTATGGAAGCAACCTCAGATAGGAAACAAAAGCAAAAAAATTCTAATTGGCAATAAAATTATGAAAGAAAAGATTAATTGGTTTATGATTTTTTTTACATTTGCTTCTTCTCCTAAAAAGTTGTGAAAATGGCTTCTACAATATTTAATAGTTAAAGCTATCCCCATCATATAGCTATGGAAGCAACCTCATATAGGAAACAAAAGCAAAAAAATTCTAATTGGCACTAAAATTATGAAAGAAAAGAAAAGGAAAAAGATAGAGAAGTTACATCACCTGCTCGACATCCCTCTCATCAAAACTAGTCCGCTGTACATGAGCCATTCACATTGCAATATCAGGTATAGCCCTTGTGCAGTGTAAATTCCATTCGGACAACACAAAATCTCTAGAAGATGCGTCGAAATTTGCCCCATAAAAAACCTAACAGCACGCTCGGCACTAAAGAATCAAAACTTGGCAACAACCAAATCAACAAAACAGAAGAGAGTTATAATATATATACATATATATATATATATAATCACTGAACCAACACAAACAAAACAGAATCACCGGATCAGATTTACGATAGTCATATAGAGAGAGAGAAGGGGTAGATCCGAACCTTTCTGCCTTCTCTCAATGCCTTGATCTCCACATAACAGATAGACCTTCGCAATCGAGAGAGAGACCTTCGAAATCGAGAGAGAGCGGTTTTTGAAATCAAAATCGAAATCGCCGAGATGTCATTCTGAGATGAATCACCGAGATTCGATCGATCGATCCGTTGAGAGAGAGCGATCCGTTGAGATATCGATCGATTGATATTCTGAGATGAATCACTGCTATGAACACTTGGTTTAAAAATCTAATTTTGAATTTCTTCCGGTCAAAGATTCAGACACAAAATTAGTATATGCATAATGACTACACTACCTAACCTCCCATCCTCTCTCTCTACCACGGCTTCTTCTCTTCTCCAATTTAGGGTTCCTTCTCTTCCTCTCTCTCGTTTTCTTCCAACCTTCCAATGGCGTCCCTCATCTGCATGTCTTCCGAAGCCACGCTGGAGAATCTCCACCGTCCAGGCCAAGATCAAGGAGATCTTTATGCCAGCTCTCAGCTCCACCATCCCCATTTTTTTTTTTTTTTTTGTTGATTCAGCAAAGAAAATCTTTATTGATGATGAAACCATACATTAGATATGGGAGTTCAACAATAAGAATGAGAAAGAAAAAATGAGAAAAGAGGATAACCAAGCATGGTGCTAGTGAGAAACCAACACTAGCTCACAGGACCGCAAGCATCCTAGCAGCAAAGCAGATCAACAGCAGAGCAGACCAGCAGCCAGAAAATCACAATCCAGAACATTGACAGCAGAAGAATAGCAAATTCACCTGGAATAAAATCTGACCAAGAGTAACATTCCATACTCAAGACCAATATAACAGTCCACTGCTGAGGGAACCTGTCCTCTGCTGAGCATAACATTCTAACAAAAACATACCACCACCACCATCACAAAAACATACCACCACCAACAGCCAGCAAAAGGCCACACAGTGACACAGCACCAAAGCCACACAGCAGAGTTACCAGTTCTAGTAGATACACCGCCTCCACAAAATACAACCAAAGCCAGAACATTGACAGCAGAAGAATGGCAACCACTAACACATTAGCATCAGCCTCACAAACATATCAGCAGCCTCAATGAAATGCAGATTCACCTGGAACAAAATCTGACCAAGAGGCACACAGTAGAGCTACCAGTTCTAGTAGATACACAGCATAAACCAGCAAAAGGCAGATAGATACACAGCACAACCAGTAAACTAACAACCTAGTAGACACCAAAATGCTAGATAGATACAGCACGAAGACAGATAGATACACAGTCAGTAGACAAATACCCAGCCAGGATTGAAACACAACACATGGTGGCAGACTAGCAGGTGTTGCCCAGACCAGCACAGCCTGGGGTGAAGCAATCGGTCACCAAACCAGCAAATCTCAACTCCAGCATGACCGAGGGCAAGATCGTTTCCTAGATCAAATCCGAAGGCGATGTGCTCTCCAAAGGCGAGTCCGTCGTCATCATCGAGTCGACATGGACGTCGAGACCTTCTACGACGGCATTCTCGCTGCCATCGTCGTCGGCGAAGAAAAGATCTGATGAATTTCTTCTACTCCTAATTTGTCATTTGTATATGGATATATATATATATATATATATGTATATGCAGATGCATGTCTATTGTTTTGATGCTTACCAGCATTAGGAGAATCAGTGATGGTTGGAGATGGACAGTAATCCCAAACAATTCCTAAATTATAACCCTTTTATGTTTGGATCTAATTTCAATCGTTCATTATATTTTTTTGTAAATCATAACACTATTGTACGCATGTCTATATATAATTATTTATTTCTATAGTGAAAATATGATTAAAAAAAAAATTATTATTTCTAATTCCAAAATGTGTTTATGGTAATGATGCAAATGACATGCTTAGAAAGTTCCGAAAATATTGCAAGAGACAGGGCAAATCAGATTCGGAGACCAACATAGCTGTTTGGCAAGATTCTACTTTAGAACTTGCCTGGGTTATTGGCTAATTTATGCTTTATGCTATTTTCGATATATTTCTTTACAGTAAAGTGGACGGTTTTACCTGTTCCATTTGTTCGTTTGTTGATCAGATGATGATGAGGAGGAGATGAAATATTTGTACAAATAAAAAATGGACACGGAAAAATTTGAACAAATAGAAAATTTACACTGAAAAAATTGGAACAGATAGACAAAAAAAATTTAAATAGATAGATAAAAAATTTGAACAAATAGTCAACAAAAAATCAAACAAAAAATAGGTCAAAGGATAAAATTGAAAATGAAATATTCTTTAGGACTTCTCACTAAATTGTTTTTCTGAGTGCGGATCTCTCCCCTAACAAAATAATAATAATAATAATTACTCAACCTAATACCTTAAACAATTGTTAGGGTGAATTTTTCACAAATTTTAAAGAGTAAGTATAGCTTTCTTAAATGATTCTTCATAGCTAGGACACAACAAAAATAAATAAATAAAAAGTTCCTTCGGGAACATCTGATAAAAAAATAATAATAAATAAAAATCAATATATCATGATGATTAACTAAATATTGGTTATTAACTTAGTTCTGTATATAACTATGATTATATAGATACATACATTATAA